TATGAAAGTGCTGTGCGGTGGGCTACAGTTGCTGTAGTGCTGTTCAGGTGCGAACCATAATATGCTTGTTTTTTATCTACGTTACGATATTGCATGAAACCAGTATCTAGGTGTGAATTGGTGCTATTATTTGCTCCCATATTCACGCCAGTCCTTCTGAGTGGGCGGTTGCCTTTGTTTGGATGGGACGGAGCACTTCTAAATGGCTTGAGGACTGCGATTCAAGTTCTAAGTATATTTTGTATCCAGCCGTTTTTGGTGGATTGCCTTCAATATTGTGTTAAATGCATAACATCACAGCTATCTCCATCCCCATCGATTCGCTACTTTGGGGACGGCCTATTTACCCTGAATTTGAGGTTGCTGTCTTCAACATACTGAAGAATAGAAGCCATGAATATGGGGTGAGTTTGCAATAGAAACATTTTTTTGAAATCGCAGGTTAATATTTTACTAATTGTAATTATGACTTTTCATTTCTAAGGTGTCACCATTTCTATGGTATTTTTACTCTTGTTTGCCTCGCGCTCTATCTGCTAGTCTTCCTTTGGCCGTGCTTGGTGTATTTCTGGATCGAAGATTGCGAAAGTACATGTCCATTGCCCTGATATTCATACTGTTGTACAGTGTTCTACCTCATAAAGAACTTAGGTATGAGTTGTTCGTTCTTCTCTTCTTCTTAGCGATGCAAACCTATCTCTGAACTTTTTGATGTTCAGGTTTATTATCTATTCTTTCCCACTGATCAATCTCTCAGCTGCAGTGTTTTGTGCAAGAATGTGAGTTAAGGATATTGTCCTTAGTCCTTGTGTGTAAAAGTGAATGATAAGATTTTTAAGAATTCTTCAGGCCTAAATTCACTGCATCCCTTCTTTCCGAAAAACCTCTATGTCTAGAGTAGCATGTACATTTATGTACTCTTGTTAGAACTTTGTTGTAATATATCAAACAGATGTTAACGTCCTTCTTATAGGTACATAAATCGGCAAAAATCATTTGGTCGTCGAATTTTATACCTTGGTTGTTGCTTGCATCTTATTGCCAACCTACTAGCTACAGCCGCCTTTCTTTATGCTGGAGCAAGAAATTATCCTGGTGGAGATGCAATCGCACATCTACAGGCATTCATTACTTAGAGAGCTGCAATTTATTTTTGTGCTGTACATATTCATTTACAGTGGACACAAAGAATTGATGCGAAGAAGCCTATGTCAGTCTACATCGATAATGCCTGCGCTCAAACTGGAGTGAGCCGTTTTATGCAGCTTTACGATGCTTGGGAGTACGTGGCATTTTTGTTTCAGTAATTTGTTTTTTTGAGAAAAGCGCACAGAAATCTCCTATAAAATCTGCTGCAGTGAAAATTCTGTGTCCGAATATTTTACCTTTGAAATAAAGTATCCAAATACACATGTATATTTGCACACCAAATGCTAACTCCATATGCAAGATTGCAAATGGTTTTTCGACAATCAGCTGCGTAATTTTACTCGAAAACAACGGAGGCTTTGGCAATAGGAAAGAGAGAAAGAAAAGGAAAGTAAGGGTCGTATTGAAAGTCTGTAAATATGAAGGGAAGGAAATGGAAGGGGCTGGGGAAAAAACTTTATTTTTCTCTCCATTTCCAATCGCGAATATGCGGCTTTTTTCTAAGGATTTGCCTTTTGGCAAACTGTCTGTGGTGAGCAGAGGGGAGTGGCAAATAGATCGCGTGCCTCATGCTACTTTTCATGGATCATTAATTCATCTTTTTTTAGGAACTGATAACTTACAGCTTTGGGACGCGATTCACTAATTAACTAATTTAAGGTATAACAAAACCGAAACCCTTACTCCGGAAGATATGGAGAGGTTCGATTTTTTAATGATTGGCACTTACACTGGAAACCTCAAAGATATCGTCACAAAAAACTACAGTACCTACCACAGAGTTATGTTTGCCATTCCAGCTTTCCATAGGTTTACTTTGAAGTGAGTCTTCTCAGCATTTTTTTTACATCACAGAATATCAGGAATAATCTTCGCTTTTTTAGGAAAACGTCTTCCTTCCCCTTCTTTTTCCCGGAGATGATCTTTAAAGAAAAAGTGGCTGTGTTGAGGAGGAAATAAGTCTACCGATGCGGGTATCAATAAAAGTACAAGTGGACCTATCTCTTTCCGTTTTTCGCCAAGTTTCTTATATTTTTACAATGTTCTTCATGAATTACTTCTTGAGCAATAAACTCGGCTTGAAATTTGAGTGAGAAAAGATAATGGCGAGCTCAACAGCGCATCAGCAGTGTGTGTATGCGTGCGTGTGTTATGAATAACGTGTTGAAAGTTGCATAATTGCAGCTCAGACTTTTAGAAAGATTTCACTAAATTTCTTTTGACAGAGTATGAAGTGAACATTGCTTGGAACAGCAGTATGGTATATCACGCGTGTATGATACAAATGTTGTCCGAAGCTAATGAAGTTATCTGACCAGTTATTAGACTTAAAAGTTTTTGTTCTTGGTCCAACTTTAGTTGATCTCGAACGTTATGGTGCAGATGGTAATTTCATAGATTTTTCGCTAAAGGTATACTCTCACTGGCTTGCCCCAGCTTCGATACATCGCAACATGTAATTTTCACTTATTGTTCAACTTTTTTGGAGGTTTAATACATGGTTCATAGCTCATCTTGAATTAGACCATGAACATGCCATAGTAATGCGCCGCATTTGCT